CCCCAAAACCCCAAAACCCCAAAACCCCATTTTCCCTCTGCACTATAAAATAAACCCAAAAATCCCAACTATGGACCCTACCTACCTCACCAGCCTCCTTCCACCCCCCTCTCCCATCCCTTCCCCCACTGAACTCTCCTCAGACACCCACCAATCCCTCTCACCGTAAGCCCCACTCCCACTTCTAGGCGCTTAAAATTCCAAAAATCTAGCCTAGCCCACAACAAGCTCAGCCTTCATAAGAAATCTAGCCCAAAAAGTACTGGTTTTAGGTGATGTTTTAGGGAATAGTACAAGCTTGGAGAAGAAACAGAGTCTGCTGAAGGTACTTGACGTGATGAATAAGCCAATGGAAAGAGGCACTTTGTATGATATGGAGCTGGGAGATGTAAGTAGTCGGTGACTAGTGTAGGTTATGCTGTATAAGTAAGATGCAGCTACATCCTCTGAGGAGTGAGATTGAGAAGTTCTTTAAGGCGGAAAGGACTCCTTATAAGGGGTTTAAAGGATATCAGATGAAGAAACATTCGAGTATTAGGAATTACCTGAGAGAAAATAATCATTGATTTATTGAGAGTAAAGATATAGCAGAGAAAATTGATAGGATAGTTGTGAAGAAGAATTTAAGGTCGTCCTTTAGTAACTATCTGGGTTAAACCTTTAGCTTTTCATGAGAATAAACAAGTTAGAAGCTCAAAAACACCGTTAGCGAAAACTATGGGAAAGAAAAATTTTCTCTCACATTTTTCTAAAAAGTATGCTTTCAGTTAAATTGTCAGGATTGTTAACTCAAATAAGAAACTAAGATCTCAAAATTCATTAAGCAGGAATACAAGAAGTACATTTACTCCTGGCCCTACTGGTATGCGAAAGAGCATTAGTCAACCAATAAGCATAGAATCTTGCCAAAACCAGAGGTACTCTAATTTGATATTTCTAGAAATTTTCCGAGAAGGAGATCAATAGATGAAATACAAGAAAAATACCTTCAAATAAAACAAAAAGCTAATGCAATGAAAGAATCAAAGGTACCCAGTTATTTCATTGTCTAGCCAAACCAGATTCAAAGCTATATCCAGAAATATTCAATGATAAACCTTGAATATAGAGCATATGCTAAAAGAATAAATTTCAACATAGAGTACAATAAAACTCCAGGGATTTCTATAAATATGATCAAAATGAAATCTAAATAAGCTTCAACAAATGGAAAAGAAATTAAAAAGATATCAGAAAAAGAAAAGATCCTCAGTTAAGTTACTCAAACCTCAGATTGAAAAGTTTGCAATCAAATTGAAGGAATCTCAGAAATTTTTCAATAGAATGAGAAGAAAATTCACTGAAGATAACGAAAGAGAACTAGCAAATAAAACAAATGAATTTACAAAGTTAGAGTGTAATCAAACAAAGTCTAGAGTGAATGACTTAGTACATTCTACTCTTTAATTATTCTGATTAAATGAAAATTAAACCAAATCAATCTTCTCAAATCTTCACGGGGTTTTGGGGTTTTGGGGTTTTGGGGATTGGGGTTTTGGGGTTTTGGGGTTTTGGGG